AAGGAGCATTTGTCCATTTAGCACTAGGAGGATTCTGTCTGTTTCATCACATTATAATGTTATAATTATAGATGATATTTTAACTATAATTCGTTTCCCATGTACTGTTGGTTTATGATTTTTTGGAAGTTGATGCTGCCACAGCTCCCATGCAAGCTGACGTGTCACAGATTCCTGGAGTTCCCTGAGCCCCAATAGCACCAGGAGTACCAGGATCCCCTGGCAGACCAGGTTCACCCTGAGCACCATCACGGCCGTTTTTAGTGATTCCAGGCACACCAGGTGCTCCTAAACAAGAAAGGGGAAAAGATTACATGAAGTATTTCCATCTCTCTTCTTTTTTTTTTAATATATGTATATATATGTTACTTTCTGAGATCCTAAAGTACTTTTGAGTGCCTGTACATCTCACTTGTTATGGCCTGTTGAGCACAAGGTGTTTTCAATAAATGTATCCGGAATCTGGAGTATGTGCATTGGATTTTTTATCTCTGAATCACTTGGTCAAGGGATGTCTAGGCTGTGTGAGCTCACAGCTCACATTGTGGCAATAGGAGTGGCCATACCCATCTCTCCTTCCTGACCAGGAGGTTGTTCCTGGTTCCTTGTTTCTAAAATATTGTAAAATATGACTCTGTCTCCCTGAGGGACAGCCAGCTCAGCTGGTCTGTAAACCTGCACTTCTGTCTTAATCCTGGTAGAGAGATGGTGCCTGATCCTTTTTATTCCTGCAAGTGATGAATTGCACCTACTCTTGATCTCCTCATGTTTCATGAGTAGGACAAATGCTCTCCATTATGTGAAACATAACCTCTTTTTACATGCTTTGGAAAAGAAAAGATGGATTAATGCAGTTCATTTATGGAAGAATCTTAACTGAGTCTAAACATTCCAGCTTTATGGAATTATATGGATGCAGAGCCTATAGCTTATTCATTGTGCAGATGTAATCCCAAGTAGAAAAGCTGTTTTAATAGGTGAGCAAAATAAAGAACATTCTTCCAAGTTTCTAATAGATATTCATTTGCATAAACTAATCTCTACATCTTTTTATAAAGGCTTCCTGACTTCATGATCTGGGATTGCAGCCAGGTATGGAGCAAAACATTCTCCAAAACATTTAGGACTGGACAGGAGTGAAGAGAGGATGTGCTAAGTATATTCTGCTGTTCAAATGGGCCCACAGGAAAACAACTTGACTCTAATGGTTACAGGGACAGAATGATGATATTCTACTGCCAGCAACAAGCAGAGCTGTCCCTCTTCAGCCTTTCCTTTAGTCATGGGTTATTAACTTGTTCACACAGCCTTACCCTGAAGTCCTTGATCGCCATCAGGTCCATCGATACCTTGACCAACAGGTCCTTTATCTCCCTTTTCGCCAGTGTCACCTTAAATCACAAACAGAATTTCAACAGTGAGTAGTGCACTGCAGCTGGAGCCAAGGGTAGGAAGGGGAGAGGCCAAGAGAAGCTCAAATTCCTCAGGATGTTGCTAGGATCTTTGCATCCTTAAAGATGCAAAACTCCCTCTTGAACTCCATCAAGGTCTGATCTCTTCTTCCCCACTGAGGATTTTGGTACAAGTTTACAATTTATTTTAGTGAGCATAAAAGGGAAGCAAGTTGCTTCAGTCTTAACTTACCTCTGGGACCAGGATCACCAAGCTCTCCTGTTGGCCCTCTGTATCCAGGAGGACCACGAGGACCAGGATGCCCAACACTTCCCACAACTCCAGGAGGACCTGGGGGCCCAGCTGGGCCAGGCCGACCCGTCATTCCAGGAGACAAAGGCTTCCTCAGATTAGCAGCTAACTGTGCAATTTGTTCTGAAAAACACACGTAAAAACTGTGTGTCCGACATTTTCACTCTTTGCTTGGGCAGATCTTCCTACACACTTACTGCTTCTGGCAGAAGGAAACATTGAATCTGACCTCTCAGCTCATCTGTACTTTTTGGGGTCTTTTTTACATCTCCACAGAAGGAGATTTTCATCACAAACCTGCAGGTTTTGAAGCTGTTGATATTTCTTCTTTCCAAACCCACTTTCACAGATGTCACATATTCTAACAAGTTATATTTAAATAACCAAAACAAGCTTTCTGAAGGAAGCTGTCAGAGTTTAACCTCATCCCAAAAGGGGAATATTGCCTCCAAATGCAGAACAGGAACTTTGAAGAATGGACACTCTGTGGGACTCTGCTCCAAGGTGCACTGAGGAGGGGAGAGGAGGTGGGAGCTGAAGCTCAGAACGACACAGGTCAGGGCAGATGCTCTCACTGCCAGTGCTTGCAGAACACTTGTGTCAAAACTGCTTCCAGTGCACTTTGTCTCTTGACATGATGAATCATTTAAAAATACTCAGTTTAGAACAATGACAGACATCCCAGACAACAAGTTGACCTCCTGAATAATTTCCTTACATTAAAGGTCAATGTGCCTTTTGTTATCAAGACAGAAAACTAACAAATCTCAGGAACCTTTTTATGTTCAGGCTCTGGTCCTCTTCATCTAAATGTCAGTTTTAAATTAAAGTCCATTTTCTCTCAGTAATACTCACCATTTATCATTTCCCCACAGAGTTCTCTGATATGCTGTTCACTGGCCTCTTTGCCCTGCAATTAACAGAAGAATCTGTCCTTATACAAACCATACTATCAGTAATCATCCCTGGCAGAAGCTTCAGGACACAAAGCACATTTCTAGCAGCTCAGGAAGCAGCACAGGATCTCACATGAAGAGGTGTTGGATTTTTCCCCTCTTCAAAAGATGACAGCTTCAGTTTTGAACTTTATCAGACTAATGGCAGAGACTGATTTGAATGTTAGGCCAGATATTGAATCTGGGGTTTATCTGGCCTTACTTTTGCCTGCTGAAATACAGGACCTTGTTGTTTGAATACAAATCCAAACCCCACGACCCATGAATTCACTTCACAGACTCCCTGACTGTGCCCCAGAAGCAGAAGACACTTACAGGAGGCCCAGGCTTTCCTGTGATGCCAGGAACACCCTGCTCCCCTTGATGGCCCATGGGTCCTGGATGTCCTGGGATCCCTGGTACTCCAGCTGTCCCATTAGGTCCTTGGACGCCTTTTGGACCAAGTTCTCCTCTTCTTCCTGGCTGTAATGAGAAATAAAGAGCAAAACCCACTGAAAACAGAAATCTTGGTCCATTGTTTTCTCCTGGGCATTGGTTAAGACTTTTTCCAGGTTTCTTTAACTGATCTGGCTGACCATATACATTTCTTACATCCTAAGGTTTGTTTAACATCTATAGGTCGTGATAACAACCTGCTACAGCAAAATTAGCAAACACATTTCAGTGTTTTGAATGCCACAAAACCCTGCCATTCTCAAAGATTTTACAGCATGACTCTGAAGAAAACATGCTTCTAGGAAGTGATGCCAGAATGTATTTTATGGGGACACATAATTGAAAGATGCAACAGACATGTTTACTCTCAAACCTTTCAGGGCATGAGCCCACAGTGTCTGACACATACCTCTCCTTTTTGGCCAGGGGGACCAAAGGGACCCTGTTAAAAAGAAAAGGAAAATGAGAAAGAATGATCTATCCAGAAAATGCACAGCTGAACTCCAATCTCCCAAGCTGTGGGAAGCTGCTGTGACATGTACAAGGCTTGAGTTGCCTTCTCTTTTTCACAGCAGGGTTGAAGATCTTGGAGGATTAGTTCTGACTCTATGACTGACCATATTGACACATGGTTTTCTAGACCCATCTGTCATTTGAGGAATCAACTCTACCAAATTTGAGAACACCTACCAGCTCTCCTTTGTCACCTGGCAGGCCATCTGCTCCAGCAATGCCCTGAAAGTGAGAGAGCAGAGTTAACACTGCATGAAGACTGTTGACAATAAGGGTCACCCTGAGATTTGGATATCCTCAGTGCCTAAGGGAGACAGAGGCTCTTAGCAGCTTATACAGCTGCTCCAGCAAGAGGAAGTTCTCTCTTCCCAAAGGTGAACTCTGCAGTACTAAGAAGGACATGTGTGGCACAAGGCAGGTGACAGGAGCACTGGGTGCCCTTTGCAACAAGCTGTGACTTGGCTGAAAGGCTGAATTCACACAGATGAAAGCCCTGATGAAGTGGCCATGAAAGACATCCACAGTCTGGCATTGGCATTCTCTGAGCAGAGAATCTAAATTTCAGGTTCCCCAGCTCTGGATCTCACAGAAAATGTGGGTTTGCAGCCAAGTATTCAGTGTCCATATCCTCTGGGCTTCCTGAGCAGTCACCTGCAGAACAGCTTCATCCCACTGTTAAACAGCAGTGATCCATCACTTGGTGAGGCTCAGCCTCTCCACTCTGTCTGGGGCCTGCAATGCAAGAGTGGCTAAAGCTCTGGTGACATTCATTTTACTAGCCAGGACAAGGAACATCAATTTGCTGATCATCTCCACTAAGCCAAGAGCAGTGTGTGCAATTTGAGCATCACTGGGGGTGACACAAATCACTGCAATCTGCTGCCACTGGCTGCAGGGGCAGCACTGCCCCCACTGAACACAGAGCTGGGTTATTACACAGCATTTAGAGCAAATAATGAACATTGTTGTGGTGACTTGGTGGCTTTCCAGAGGAAGTTATTTCAAGACAGAGATTAGGTTGGTCTTTCCCCTAGCAACAAAACAGAGACCACACAGACACTGATGCTGGTAAACAAAACCAGCAAGGTTTGCTGGAAAAGCTTCATTTTCTGCAAAACCACAGTCATGCATAATGAAATCATATATTTGATGAAAACTGGCTGAGAAGCTCATTGCTGAGATTAAACCAACTATGGAAGTTAAGCAGCAAAAAGTAAAAGATTAAATCAGTCTGTTCACATGCCAAACTTTGAGGTTAGGCCAAATCCTCTTCATCAGGCACATGAAGTTCAGGGAAAAGCTGCACTTCTAAACCTAACTCAGGAGGAATACGATGTGAGGAGCTCCTACACAGATGCCTCGTGGCTACAAAACACACAGCAAGGGGCTAGTGTTTATATCACAGCATTTTCATGAGTCTACAACTGTGCCAACACAGGAAAAATGGGACTAAAGAGGGTTTTGTTGGCACCTGCTGCAGAATATTTTCATCTGAGGGAGAAAAAGCTGGTTGTGCTGTCAAAGGCTGTGCCTGAGGTTACCTTTCAATGCCTCTGCTGACGACAACACGAAAATTATCACTTACCTGGTTACCTTTGGGACCAGGAACACCAGTAGGACCCTGAGAATAAGTAAGAGAAAGAAGGCAAATAAATGAGCTGAGAGTGTTACTTTCCTAGAGTGGTCACTCACTCACTCAGCAAGGGGTTGGGAATTAGTCTCCCAACTGCCAAGTAGAAGGGTCCAAATGTCATCCACACTTCATAGAAATAGGAAAGGATTTTGGCATCTCTGCCAGCTCTGCAGCACTCTCTGCAGTCCCTGGTTTGTGCTGTAGGATATTTTCTCAGCTTCTTCCTCTGCCAGTGACAGCAGAGCTGCCAGACCAGGCAGGAACCCCCAGAGCTCAGGCCTGATGGTCTTCTGTCCACCAAGTCATCATCCAGACCAGCTAGACTTTCTGACATAGCTTGGTGATGCATTGCTCCCCACCTGCCAGGAACATCAGCTACACCAGCCTTTTTCAGACCATCCTCCTCCACTGCCTGAATGAAAATGAATTCTCTGTTTTTAATGCTAGTCTTTAAAACCTCATAAGAGACAACTTCCACATCCATCCCAGAGTAGGAACTCTTGTTTTGCCTTTGCTCCTCTGCTTTCCATCATTGTCATCTCACTCTCATGACTGAAAACTGTGACTTTACAAATTAACAACTGAAAGGACAAGGGCCAGGAGGAGAATGGTCAGTGACTGATCTCTGCCTTCCCACCTGAAGATGTGAGAGGGAGGTTGAATTTACTCATGGTATAAAATAGACAAGAACATTTTTGGACCACACAGGCAAAAAGTCAGGATGGTTTTTTAGATTGTCAGTTTTCCTGGGATTAGGAGTTAGGTGCTCCTGACTTTGAGTTTCATGGAACAACATGGCCATAGGAATAAAATACATTTAGATGATGAACTGATTATCACACAGAAATAGTTCAGGTAACTTGAAAAATCCAGCTTTCTCTACCTGGCATTCACAGATTGGACATGAGACATTTTCAGCCTTGCTCATGACTCTGTCCCTAAAGCAGAGCCAACACAAGGAGTTCAGGAGAAATCTACATGGGAAATTCAACCATTTAACCCTTCAAACAAGATTTCTACAGCCCATTCATCAGTCTGGCATCTGCAAACTGATCTGGTTTAATTAACTAGATCTGGAGATGGCTCAGCAGAGCAGAATCTTCGAGGAGGACAAACACACAGAACAAGGGCATGTCATTTTGCTCAAACCAAGCACTAAGCTAAAAAAAGGAGGGATTTCTATTAAAAAAACACTCTCAGCAAAACAGACAATGGAATGTAGCAATGCAAGAATGGCTACAGCTATTTATAACTCCCATTTCATGTTTGCTGATGGCAAAGTATTCTTTTCTGAGCATTATCACCTAGATTTATATCTCTGACTGAGTCCCAAGGTTCCATGGATGTTTATGGCACTAAAACACTGCATAGTCACCAAAGACCAAACCTTGTGAGGAACACTGCCTTAAAGGAAAGCTTAGCCCAAAGGATTTTCATTCAAAGCTGTAATTTACTGCAGTAGTAATTCCTCGCAGCAGGAAGAAGTGACAGGAGTTTAGCTCCACACCCTCATGTGTGTGTCAGCTGATCAGCTAAACACAACCAATGTTTTTGGCCAAGTATCTAGTGATGCCATCAGAACTGAGAGAGGCATTGCCCCAGAGGGTTGTTGGCATCCCAAATCCTCAGCAAACTGATCCTAACAAAAATCCTCTGGAAAAATGCCTCTGTCAGCAACAGCAGTCAAACCCTTCCCCTCCCACTATCCACTCCAGCAGGATGGTTTATATATTTCATCTCAGCGCTGTTTTATATCTTACAGTCAAATGCACTAAACCTCTTGTACTTTTCATGCCAGCAAACACATTTACTGACATGCTGCTTTATATTCCTGGCCACCATCAGCCCAAGGACTGTGAAAAAGCCTGTCAGTACCTGTTAGCTCAGGCTTGAAGGGATTTTTTTATAGAAAAGCCACAATTGATTGCAGGAGAGTGTGATGGGTTGGCTGCAGATGGGATGGTGCAATTGCATCGATCCTGTGTTTGCAGTTCTCCTCTTTATACCTGTCAAGACCAGCAGTGAAGCAAACCCAGGGCAGATCTGCCACAGCTGCCTTCACCTCCAGCTGTTTGTTTGGGCTATAAAGACACAGTCTGAGGTTTTAGGCTCTTCCAGCCCAAATCTTGTGCCCAGTGATATGTGAGGAGATCTGCAGTGCTGATTGCTGGCACAGTTCTGGCTGCTGCCTGCAGGGAGGGCCATGGCTGTCACCAGCACCAGTGGGACTGGGTGGGCAGGTGGAGGTTACACTCAGGACCAGGAGGTGGAAAGTCTCCAGCATAACCCAAACCTACTCCAGCAGTTTTCCTGGGGAAAGCTGCTAACCACCTGGGGTGGCAGGAAACAGTCATAGAATTGTGAAGGTTGGAAAAAAACCTCTGAGGTTGTCAAGTTCAACCATCAACACAGCACCACTACAGTGTTCACCACCAAACCATGTCCTCCAGTGCCACATCCACACGTTGTCAGAGTAATTCCAGGGATGGTGATTCTACCACTTCCCTGGGCAGCCTGTTCCAATGCTTTACAACCCTTTCTGTGAAAAAGAAATTCTTAATATCAAATCTAAATCCTCCCTGGTGCAACTTGAGGCCATTTCCTCTCATTCTGAACGATCCACAATTACATCTTGAAGTAAGTAAACTTCAGAGCCAGAAATAAACCCTAGCTGTTTAATTTTTTTATTGCTTTAAGCATAACATTTTCTCTCCCTCTGCTCAGAGCAGCTCCCTGGGTGCTCCTTGCAGGGGCCTCTTCTCCTCTGAACGTACATTTTTCACCACAGTGAAGCCCTGAATGCAGTCAGAGCCCCAAAGCTCCACAATAACCCTCCTGTTTCACACTTCCAGCTCAGAGCCACTCCAAGAGGCTTTTTTAAACCTGTCTGGAGCCAGCACAGAAGGGCCATTGTGGAACCCCCTGTGGTGCTGCTGCGATTGCTTACACAGAAACTTCACCTTAAAGCTGGGGTGGAGGGAGATGGTGAACACACAGCTACTGTTCTCCTGCAAGCCACCCAAAAAAAGCTCTACTGGCTTCTTTTAAATGAGAACTGAATTCATTTAAATAAAAAGTTGCACTTATTCTGAGGTGTGGGGCCCAGGTGTGTTGCTGTTCAGAAAGAAAAGTCACTGAGCAAACTGTAGTTTAAAAAAATCCAGAAAGCCTAATCAAGCATCTGAGCAATCAAAATGCACAAATCAGCTCTCCTGTGCTTTGGAGGGATCAGTCCACAGAGCAGGGAAAAACCCCAAAACAACATCTATTCTTGCTGGGATAGGATCCCAAGTCTCATTTAAACAATCCATTCTGTCTAAAAATAGTGAGAGCTCCTGAAGTGAAACAGAGACAAGGACAGGAACAGAAGGGATGGGATGCACAAATCCTGTTACCTGCTGTAGGGTCTGTCTTGGACCTGCAGCAGCCTCAGAGAAGGGAATGGGACAGTCCATGCACTTAACTTCTGCTTGTGTTTGCTGGGCTGACATCAGCTACACCAAGTTTTGGGCCCTCGTTATGCTCTAATTTCATATCCCAAACAGGAATTAGTCACAGATGTCTTCTCCTTACCCTGTCACCTGACTCTCCACGGATTCCAGTCGGACCAGGAAGTCCAGGTTCACCACTGGCACCTTTGGGACCCTGTTAGGAAAACAAAACAAAACAACAAGCTACAGCTTACAGTGCCAGGTCATAATCAGAAAACAATTTGGTTGGAAGGGACCTTAAAGACCATCTTTTTCCAACCCACACCTTCCCCTAGGCCAGGTTGCTCCAAGCCCCATCCAACCTGGCCTTGAACACTTCCAGAGATGGGGCAGCCACAGCTTGTCTGGGCAACCTGTGCCAGAGGCTCAAAGCTCAAACCCTTCCATTGCAAACAAATAATATCAATTGTTCCAGCAGGCAGCTTAGATGGCCTTGTGCTTTTTCTGCTGTCTTGTGTTAATAAAGGTGTCAAACTGGTTCTGGCAAACGGAAAGGCATTTCTTCCTATCCCTCTTTGCCATCACACAATTGTCTGGTCAGAGGTTTGCAGAAAACTCTGACCTGCCAAAACACGATACCCATTAAATTACTCCTGTCAGCACACTGACCTGGAAACCTCGCACACCAGGGGCTCCTGTGGGGCCTTGGAGACCAAGTGGGCCCTGAAAAGAGAAAGATCAGCTTTGGTAATGAGAAAATTCAGGGCCAGGTTAAGTTCCTTGTGTAATTAAATTGTCAGAGAGAGACCATGTGGTTCTGTGCTGCAGTGCCCCATGGCATTGCTGATAAACCACTGTAAAGTGATGTTTGGTGTTTCCTGAGCTTTGCTAATAGTAATATCATCAATAGAAACGCTTATTTGTATAACTAATGCTTAATGACATACCATACTCATGAGTAGAAAAGATCAACAACAGCAAAAAGTGTCAGCATGATAGAGCATAGACAATATCCACTAGAGATCTATCCCAAAGTTATGCTTTTAATTGATTGCAAGAAACTACTGCAAAAGATGTGCTGCAGGCCCCTGGAAATGAAAAATGGCAATTGCATCCATTTTCTTGGACATACTTGGTACCAGCATTATAGAAAAAGCAGCAGCTCATGCTGTTAGTGCAGATGCTTTTAAGAGCTCACCAGACAGAACACGAGTGTTACCATTAGGAGTCTCTATTGCTTTCTCCTGAGAAAAATCACATCTCCAATAAAGATCTTGGATGAAAAAAACCACAAAACCCTGAGTAATTTAAGCATCTAAATCCCATATTGTAAACTGTCTTCTTGAAATAGATGCCTTCAGCAAGCTTCTGTCACGAGGTAGGACTGCAGCTTTGCCTCCTCTCACAGCTATCCCTGCCTGGTGTAGCATCCAGGGGCACAAACTTCAAACTGGCCACTGAAATAATGCAGCAGCATCCTCAAAAGGCTAAAGAACTGCTCAGGTATTTTTGTTGTTATTGTTTCCACTTCTGTTTTCTGCTTGTAATTCAGTAAGGAGCTTGTAAAGTTATAAATACAGAGGTCCAAGAAAGTTGAGTTAAATGGCATCAAAAATGACTCTGCTGTGCTGGTGCCTTTAAATGTGGTAGGACCTGGAGGACCTGACAGGCTCTGAGTGGGAGAAACCCTTGGTACTCTGAGCTAAATAAACCCAAATTGTTTTGAGCCAAACAGCCTCAACACCAGAAAAATCCTGCCACTCTCTTAGAATAGCCCAGGCTTAACTAATAAATCCTGACTCTAATAACACAAATCAGCACTGAGAAGGTTAGACATAACCATGGGTTCAGCTGCTATTGCACCCCTGTCAGAACTTTGCACCAACACAATTACCTCCACTACTTTTGCTTTTTGGCCATGATAATGTGATACCTTTTGTGGGCCCAGCTATTTTGATGAAAAATTGCAGACATAAAAGCAAACGTTGCTAATATAGTTTATTTCTAAGGCTGATTTCCCTCTCCTTGGAAGTTTAAGGAGCAGCTGCTCACAAGCAATAAATCATACAGTTCAATTTCTTCCAAGTGGCACATACCAGAAATCATATTACACTTGCTGTAGGCTCCTGGATTTCAAAATCAGATTAAGAGGAGAAAAAAAGGAAAGTAAAAAAGCCCAAATAAACCACTGGGAAGTCAAGTCTGACCCCAATGGCAGCACTAGCTGGGGAGGGACAAGATAAAGGTATCCAAGAGTTTTTAGTACTGTGATCAAAATCAGAGTTTTACCATCCTGATATCATTTATTATCAATCTCTGCTATTCAGCAGGGACACAGCAGAGAGTCAGGCAGTCATTTTCAGTTTTGTTGTGTGTATGGCTCCAAGGACAGTGATACAGGCATGGGGAGGATTTCAGGTTTCACATGCTGGTGGCAATGTACACTGCAACAGCTTCATGGGAGCTTTGCTTCATTAGTGACTCACTTCAGTGTGAGCAGAACCTTATTATTCCTGTCTAATGAGGGGATTGCTGACTGTCCAGACTCTCCTGTCAGACTGTGGCAGCTCCACAAACCTCTTGGACAGCTGCAGATTGCTTTGCCAAGCGAAATGGGAGGGATCACTTGGAGTTTGCATGGAGCTGACAGTGAGAACAGGATCTGACCCACTTATGGGAAAGGAATTCCTCTGCTGCCAGAACTTCCCAGAGGCAACATCAAGAGAGAATGTGGCCTCTCTGGTAGCCAGAGAGTAACCCCCATGTCCTGAACTCTGTTTTGGTGTCTATCTGATGCACAGGCAGTGTTGTACTTACACTTACTCCTCGGGGTCCCGGCAGACCTCTCTCACCAGGAATACCAACATCACCCTGGCAAGAACACCAAAGTCAGCTGTGATGTTTAGGAGCCATGAATCCACCCTTCCCACCCCACTGCAGAGCCAGAACCTCCTCCTGCATCCCAGGCTATTTCAGTCCCAAACTCCCTGCCCCACTGACCTATCTACTAGCCCACACCTGGTGGGCTTTGACCTCTGCTGCTGCACCAAACCAGTGCATAGAGGTGTCTGCCTGTTCAGCTCACACTGGGCTCACTGGGGAGCTCCACATTGGTGTGACCTGCTTGGAGTGCTCAATCCCATGGGATTGCACATGTTGGAGACAGCACAGCACCTCTTGCACTGCTGAAAACTTTCTTTGTGCAGGGAAGCAGCACATGAGCTCCAGTTTCACAGTTTGGTTTGAAACATACTCAGCAGAGCTCATGCTAAGTGGAAATGATGGGATACTCACAGGGATGCCTGGCTCTCCAGAGGGACCTGCCTCTCCCATCTCTCCAGGATGGCCCTGCAGAGGAAAAAGCAGATGCTCAGTTAGGACATCACTGCAGAGAGTCATTTCTGTCCTACCTGGGACCAGTGACTAGGAAGGACTGCCAGCCCCAGGGCAGTGTCACCTTGTCCATATGGGACTGAAGGGGAGCAGTGAGACAGGGATTCTCTTCTGGAGATGTGCTCAGGACACCCCATCACTGCATCACCTCCATGCCAGGATAAATGCCTTCCTGCAGTGTGCTCTCCTGCATGAGGATTAGCAGGAATAATGCTGCAGGTACAGAGGAGGAAATTCAGAAAGAAAGGAAAGGACAGAAAAGAAGACACTTTTCAGAACAGCTTTGTGCTGGACTGCTTTTGTCTCTCTCAGCTTTTGTTTTATCTCACAGGTAGGTACCAATCTAAAGCTCCATGGAAGATTTTCTCCTGAGGTGAGGGGAAAGTCTCCAGGAGACAAGATGAGATAATCCTTTTGTTTGAATGTGCTCAGCTTTTTGATTCCCAGAGATGATGCCTGCTGCTGGGACTTTGACAAAAGGGTGAATACTTCTTTCTGAGGTTTACAAAGGCACTGATGACTCTCCTGTGTAGCTGCCATGTCTTCACTGAACAAGGTGCAAGAGCAGGGCCAGCCCAGTTGTTTTACCTGACACCTGCTCCTCACTGCCAGGGAAGCTCAGCCCTGGCAGAAATGCTGACACCATCCCTTTGGGGCAAGTCCTCCCAATCCCCCAAAGCTGCAAACCCTTGCTGTGACCAGCTTCCCCACCAGAACCCACCATTAGAGAGACTGACTTACTGGTTCACCCTTTGATCCTTTGATACCTGCTTTTCCAGGCAGTCCCTGGAAAAAGAATAATATTAAAGCAACGTCAGAAGAAGTGAAGTTATTAAATTTGTAATTCTGGTCTGATTTGACACACAAGAAGCAACCTTTGCTTGAAGCAATGGAGGATTTACATTTCTGCAGTTTTCACTGTGAAAATTATGACTTCAATTTCTTTTTTGCTCACTGCCCTTGCAGCTCTACGAACACTAATCCTTGGCATTAGAGCAAAGAGGAGGAACATACAAATAGACCAGCAGCAGCAACATTTTGCACAGCAGAAACTTCTCTCTAGGGGTGTTCAAAACACTCTGTAAGACAGGAAGAAAGGAATACTTTACCTCTTTTTAAATACTTGGAAGACTGGAGAGATGAAACATTTTGCCAATAAACACTAGTAAGCCTGGGACAGGCCTCAGGATATTATATCCCAGATCTTACCTCCCTGCATAAGGGATGTGAAAGAGAAAAACCCTCTCAAATCTAGATTTTAAACAGGGCCAGAGAGTCCAATGGCCATGGAATTGCTGTGTTAGTATGTGGCACTATTCAGGTGTTCTCCATTCTGTCCTGTACACTGCTTCCCTATGTGTAAGGTGGGAAAAGTGCATTTCCTCTTGTCTTAACTGGAGCCCCTTAAGAAACAACACACAAAATGACCCTGCCCTGTCCCCAGAAAGGATCTCTGAGCTGCTGTAACCCCCTGAAGGTGGCAGATCCTGCTCCATACTCACAGGAAGTCCATTTGGTCCCTTCTCCCCAGGAGCTCCCATGCGAGCTGCATCACCCTGTAGATAGTGAGAGGTTAGGAGGGATCATCCAACACTGGGAATGGTCTGACACAGGGAGGGGACACATTCCCAAACAGGCATTTGTGCTCTTCTCCCTCCCCATATGCACAGAACCCAGAGCTGTTGTGCCTACAGGAGATGGCCATTCCCAGGTGTTTCCCTACTCCCCTGCAGCCCCCAGCCCTCCTTGGCAGCACACACCATGTTCCTGCAGGATCACAAACCAGGCAACTAGTACCTGACAGCACTTTGTCTACAGGCAATTAAAATAAACAGATGACTCTCTCAACAGCTCTGAAAAGTATCTCTGAAGGCCTTGAATCAACCAGCAGGAACCACTCAATACAGGGACACAGCTGAGCTTATGTCCTATGTGCATCTTCTTTCTTTAGGGATTTTCCTTGGGATTAATTAATAGAAACAATTTCACTCTTTTTCACTAGTGACACTATTGTAAAATCTTTTAGAAGCAAAAGTTTTCCAGCCATGCTCTTCTTGACAAGCATCAGTAGCTTTGCAGCACTCATGGGACAGTAACAGGAATCTTTCCTGCAGTGTTTAAGTAGGACTTTACAAACCTTCTCACCATCGAGTCCAGGAGCTCCATCCCTCCCATCCTTGCCAGGCATGCCCTGCAATCATGCACAGAGCATGTTAAGGTCATGAGAGGACTGTGGTTTGCAAAACACATTCACATCAAAGAACCTTTTGGCAATGGGTCCAGCTCCAGTTGCACTGAGAGGTTTTTAGTTAACAGCAGCACAACTGGGGTTTAGTCCAACTGGGATTACACTGAAGGCTCCAGAGACACACAGAGCAGATGTTTGACAGCAAGGACTGCAAAATGCAAAGGTTTTTTCCTATTGTGTTTGATCTCCTCATCTGCAAGCAAGACAACAGTGAGACCTGTATCCTATTTGACTTACAGGTTCTCCTATGAGTCCACGAGCCCCTGGGTTTCCTTTTGGACCAGCTTTACCCTAGAAATCAACAAGAAATCCTGTTATCCAAGACAAAACCCTTAAGAATAATCAGTCAACAAAGATAAACTCTGTAAGGGTATTTCATTCACTTTGGGCTGGCTCCTCCCCTTTTCACATAGGTATGGAGGTTCTTTTGGAACACACCAAGAAACTGGCCCAGTGCTGGCTGCAGCACCTGGGAAAATTCTGGACCACTTCAAGGGATGGGGGTATAAGGTCTGATCCTCCTGCTCCAGGCTGTAGCAGCACTTTGACATGTTCTTACTCAGACATCTTTAGTAAGAGTTAAACCTCTCATTTTTTGAGAGGATGCTTTCATCTCTTTCACCTCCCTTTCAAGCAAACCAGGGGGACACAGGTTATAATAAACCTCTGAAACAGATTCCTTGGAATGCCATGTCCCAGACTGGAGCAGATGAGTGTTTGACTGCACTTACAGTATCTCCTTTGGGTCCCCGGAATCCCTGAGGTCCTTTGCTTCCTTGGGGTCCCTATGACAGAGGAGGAAAAGCCATTTAAGCACCTTCATCATCACACAGTGACGAAGACTGAGGCTTCAAGGGTGGAATGCTGAGGGTGTTGTGCTGTTTGCTGGGTTAGCAGAGGTGTGAGCACACACATTCCCCCGGGAGCTCGGCTGTACTTTCTCAGTTACACTCTGTAATTCCTGACACACAGAACAACTGCAGCAGGAACATTGCCAACAATCCCTCGGGGCAGAGACCATCTTCCCCTGCATTTAATGAAGCAATTTCTTTAGGCAGAAACAGAGCGAGAGATAAACTTTAATATTTACTGTCTAGATCCTACTGGGCATAATGAAAGGTTTGGTGGACAGGAAGCACCTCATTTTCTTGTAGTTTGCATGAATTTCTTCTATAATTACAAAGACTAGAGGTAGGTCCCCAGAGGGTGGTACTGCCTCAGGGTCAGTGTGGTCTGGTGGCTGGTGTAGGCAGCTGGAGCTGATATAAAGCAGATGCCATCATATCATAGAATCACAGAAGGGTTTGGGTTGGAAAGGACCTTAAAGCTCATCTCATTCCAACTCCCTGCCATGGGCAGGTACATTTTCTACTAGATCAGGTTGCTCCAAGCCCTGTCCAACCTGGCCTTGAACACCTCCAGGGATGGGACAGCCACAGCTTCTTTAGGCAACCTGTGCTAGTGCCTCAGCACCCTCACAGGGAAGAATTTCTTCCTCATATCTAACCTAAATCTACCATCCTTCAGTTTAAAGCCATATTTATCCACACTAAGGGGAGATAGGGTGGCAGGCCAGTGGAAAATGCTCTTCCAGAGGTCAAAATGCTGCAGATGCTTCTCAGGACCATCTTTATTCATAGAATCATAGAATTTTAGGGGTGGAATGGACCTTACAGACAATCTATTCCCACGTCCCTGCCCTGGGCAGGGACATCTCTTCACTAGACCAGGCTGCTCAAGGTTCTATTTGGGCACAGTAAGGAGGGCACAGGACTCTGCCCAAGGTGCAGGCTCAGTGTTCCACACCTTACCCCAGAGCTCTGCAAAAGGATGAGGATTGCATCTCCAATACACAGCTATTCCTGCTTGCTGCAACTAATCCTTGTGAGCTGTGGGCACCTGGGAATAGACCAGGCTCAAAGGATGTAAGCTCAGGATAGTGCTTGCTGATTCTTCCTCCAAATTCTCCTTCCCCAAACCAGCACATATTCCCTTCTCCAGTGCTTGCCCACAGCTGCTGATGCTCAGGGAAGGGCAGTGAAGCACAGAGAGCAATGGAAACATGGTGAACTCATTCTGGCATGGTGCATGACCGAGGTAAAGACATCATGAGGTCTGGGACAGGTGAAATAATATTGCTGTAGCTGGAGGGAAAATGGCAAGGGGAAAAATCTGATGGTGGTGGTCAGCCCACCCTCCTGAGCACTGCCAGCAAAGAGCTTAATGCAGGAGGAATAAACTCTAGGTTGTGGTTGTGGAAGTCAGAGCCATATTGAGGCTGGGAAGAGGATACATACAACTTTCCCTGGAGGTCCTGGGATTCCAGGTGGGCCTCTGAACCCAATGTCACCCTGCAAAGAACAGACATCATTGTAACGCTGTGGTTGGAAGAGGTGAAGTAACAGTATCCCCAGCCTTGTACCACAGACTGAGAAAACACAAAAGCCCTGGGAAGACACCCTGTTTTTCTTGCTAGTTCGCAGTACAGACTTGCAAAAGATTCTCCTCTGAGCAACACATTTTTGCTCTGGACCTCCCCACCTTTATCTCTCTGATATGCTGATATCATTCATGGCCTTGCTATCTTGTTAACACACTCATTCCTAAATAAATGCATGACTTCATCAAATACAAAACCATTCAGCCTTTAGGCTGCTGGTCAATGGACTGTGACAAGGGTCCAAAGCCACAATGAGCTGGAGATTGACTGTTCTCACTGAGGAGCCCTTTTGGGTCCTGAGAATCTTTGTCCATCAGTGATTCTTTGCCTTTTCCTTGTAAAGAGACAGAACAGAAAATGAAATGCTCATGAAATGTTTTTTTTTTGGGTTTTTTTTGCAAGATTCTTTAGCATTGTCAGTCTAGCAGGGACAACACCTTTTCCTTGTTTGGAATGCTTCCACCTGGCTGGGCCTGACCCTGTCAGTCCCTGGGGTATGTTAACTGGAAGGTTCTGGAGGGTGCAGGGAACAGCCCACACTTTCTATCTTTACAAGTTTCCCAGTGGTCTCCAGTAAGGACAAATGCCACCAGCACCTTGCATGAGACAAACTGGTGGTGGAGGGGAAAAAAAAGTCAGCAGAATATTTTTCTTACTCTGTCACCAGCTGGACCCATTGGACCAGGGAGGCCTCTTAGTCCTCTTGGGCCCTAATTAAGACAACAAATCAGTTAGAACTGTTCAACACAAAAGGGCAGAACAGCATGAGGTAAGAACTCATCAACAGGGAAAACATTCAGAAATAGTGAGGAGCAACAGCAACTTTCAATGCACAAACAGGACATTTTTCTCTTTTGGTGGCAATCCCTGAGCAGTGACACTGTGCTGACAGCCCATGCAGGCACATCTTCAGCATCCCTGTGCTCTCCAGCCCATCTCCCAGGCTGAGCCAGCCCAGAGCTCAGCCTCAGGGTCCACCCAAAAGGTGCTCAGGGCCCTACTGGGTGCCCAGGTCTCATCCAAGATGAGATACCAAAAGCAGGACCTGAATTAAAGCTCAGTGAAACCAGCATGATTTATTTTTTCACCAGCATCAGTGTTCACATCTGTAATTGTGCAGAGGAAAGAGCTGTTTGTGTAAGGAGGATTGATGGCTCCAGTGAGTCCCTCAGTGATAAGGCAATGGGAACAGGTTGGAAGAGGAGGTGTTACCTGCAGGCCAACACCACCAGGAACACCTGGAGGACCAGGAGGGCCAGGGTTACCCTGGGAGAGAAAAATCAATTAGACAAGAGGAGAGAGAGCACAAACTGCCAATACACAGCCAGGGGCCTCTCCATCTTACTTCTCCTTGAGCTCCCTCCCCCCCAGATCTCCCTTCAGAATTTACTTCTACGTTACAGGCTACAAGCAAAAACATTTGGGTCAGTCAGGAATGTATCCAAGTGATCAATGTAGGGCTGTTCCTGAGCTGACATCCCTGCACAGGAAATGACAGGTGTTAACCCCAACTGATCTTAATGTGAGCATCATTGGGAAGATGAATTTTCTTGGAGGGTTAGCACACAGTCCTACAGGCAGAGCAATGGAAGCCAATGCACTTCAGTCATAGTAACTTGTTCAGCCAATTGCCTCATTTCTCCCTGTCTTCTAGAAGAAATCACTTGTTATAGTGCTTTGAAAGAGAAAAAATTATCCCCCACACCCTTTCAATTGGAGTTTACCTTCTCTCCTTGTTTTCCTATTTCACCAGGTTCCCCTTTGTGACCAGTGTGTCCCTAGAAATAAGAGTTCAAATTATTCACATTTCAGTACAGTCTTGCTTAAAATTTGAATTTTATGAGATACCAGTGAGACCTAAACCCACACAACATGAACAGCTTACAGGGAAAATAATCTATGGGTGTGCTGTAACTGTGTGAATTCAGGCCACTTCTGGGGGTGGTTACCCATGTACCACTCCTGTGCTAGGGACCAGTGTCAGAATTGATGTAGCTCCAGGAAATGCCAAGATTTGGTTTTCCAGAGTGACTTGCAGTGAACTTGGCTCAAGGTCTCCAGGTGTAATTCTCAATTACAGGTCAGGGATCAGAACTCTGTTCCCATTACCACTGAAAAAGGGGCTGAGTTGCTTCTAAAAACTCCATTCTATATCTTTAACCTGCCTTTTTGAGTCATCTTTAATGCCTGCATCACCAACCTTGCAAAGAAATGCATGTTCCAGTGAAATCTTTTATATAAACTCAGATTCAATTTGTGTCTTGGCTCCTTTCCTATCATTGTGGGAGAGACCCAGACTAATTTCAGCCATGGCAGATGTTATTCCTCACCACTCAAAAGGTCCTGTGCATCATTTGCATCATAATTGGAGAGCTTCACAGCTTTTCCCATTTCATGAGCTATGAATTTTCAGCAGTTATGCCCTAAGCGTTGTGTATTTCTAATTATATTTGTGACTCAGTGCAGAGACCAAACAGACCCGAGAAAGGACAGTTCAGGAGAAACTGAGAGCATTTCCCAGGAGTTGTTCCACTCATTGCCAACTTCTAAATCCTGTTAAAAGAACCTGAGTCACTTATTACTTTGTCTCACTACTAGAGTTTAGCCACTGCAGACTTCATGTGAACCAGAGAGGGGACAGAGCAGGAGATGTTTAACTGCTTAGGGAGGTTTCCTGAGGGTTGAAACCTTGAATTTATGTACCAGAATCCAACAACATAAACAGAAATCTGCCTGGTATGACACTAGCTATAAAAACAACAATTAAATTGTATTATCATATAAGTTATGTTTTGCTCCAGTTAACTATGTTCCTCTGTGAGTACAATTTAAGAACTGGTGAGACTTTTACAGCTCTCAGGTCTGGAAAGGCAGCTCTGAAGCATTCCCTCTGCTTGCTGCTGTCCATCAGCTGTGCCCCAGAGGGCTTTGCAGGGTGTTTTAATCTGTGCTCACCCTATGCCAAGGGTTCCATTTCATTGTCAGGAATAAATATAGGCAAATGCAGGGCTGGTTTGGGAGGAGTGGAGCTTACAGGAGACATGTACCCCAGTTTAGTCCCAGTGGTGTTTATTTTGGCAGACAGACCCTTGTGCAGGTGCTGTCCATCAGCTGTGCCCCAGAGGGCTTTGCAGGGTGTTTTAATCTGTGCTCACCCTATGCCAAGGGTTCCATTTCATTGTCAGGAATAAATATAGGCAAATGCAGGGCTGGTTTGGGAGGAGTGGAGCTTACAGGAGACATGTACCCCAGTTTAGTCCCAGTGGTGTTTATTTTGGCAGACAGACCCTTGTGCAGGTGGTATTTCCTTAAACCCTGGCATTTCCTGGGGGGCCTGGGGGGCCTGGTGGGCACAGAGCTGGGCACTGCAAGGAACAGAAATACTTTGATTTAGCAAGCACACAGGGCACATCCAGTGGGGTTGGTTTCCTTACTAGGGAGAGGTGAAAAAGGCACACGGATTTTGGCTTGAAATCCACTAAATCTAATGCATTCAGAACATCATGTATTGACCAGCATTTCCCTATGGCAAAGGGTCCTGGAGGTCCTCAGGCCTCCAGTAACCCACAAAATAATGGTTTAATGAATGGACTGCTTCACTCTCAGCATGGGCTGAGAAATTCTGAAGGTTGACAGTTGTCCAAAATGTTGAAGTTCCCCAGTGAGGTTGTATTAGTATCTTGTAAATCATTAGGAACATATTTAATCCTATGCATTAATTGACCTCTATTGATTTCCTTTAGACAACTCACCTAACTGAAACAAGGACAAGCATCAGAGTTGATTGAAGTGGAGCAGTAAAAAAACCAAGCCCAATACCTATCTGCTGGGATCTGCAGATGTCTAGGGATGGGTGAGTCCCTGGTGGGAACTGTAGCTTGATTAGGAACAAATCAGAACATGCATGGAAATTTAATGCAGAAAAGGCCATAGTTTATAAGTAAGTAATGAGATTTTCATCTGCAGCTTTTCTTCCATTTGTTTGTTTGTTGGTTTGGTTTTTTTTTCCTTTAATAAAACCTCAGGCAACACCTCTGTAGCAGAAATTCAATTTTCTAGTATATTCCACAGGGTAACTTAAATTAAACTTGCAGAAATAGCATCATTTTCTATTAACTTCCACGTGACATGCCATAAGGCAGCCTAAACTGACTCTGAGCTTTTTTGGGGCATGCCAATTAGAAAACCAAAGGAGCTGTCACAACAGCAGCTGTGAAATCTGGAAATGTCACTTGCATCATTCATGGACTTAACACTCCTTTCATTCCCCTGAAAGAAAGGAATCAAGACTTTCTCTTAAGGAAGGAAGCCTGAACAAAGCATATGCCCAGAGGAACCCGGTGCCACCATCCATGGAAATAAACAGTGCTACACACACAACCTTTTGTGTTGCAAAGCAGGATTGGAAACATGCATGAAAAGCTGTTGTCATTTACCAAATGCTGAAGTTGTTTTGTAAATGAAGAATGGATGCAAAATGTGCATTTTGGAAAGCAAAGATCAAGGAAGAAATCAGCACTAGGATCACAGAATGATTTGGGTTGGAAGGGATCTTAAAGACCATCTCCTTCCATCCCCTGCCATGGGCAGGGACACCTTCCACTAGACCAGGTTGCTTCGAGACCTGTCCAACTTGGCACTGAACACTTCCAGGGATGGGACAGCCACAGCTTCTCTGGGCAACCTGTGCCAGTGTCTCTCTGCCTCCTTGAAAAACCATTTCAATCTTGGGAACACCCCCCCCCACTCTTGTGCATTCTGTGCTAAGGTACTTTAGACCCATGTCTGCAGATGTAAATGGTGCATGTTAAATGGTCTGAGACTCACCCAAGTATCTCAACCAAAAGTCACATCGGGGATGAAACCAAAATATATTTCCATGTTACATAAAGTAAAACCTACCTGAAGGTCTCCACCCCCATCGGGAAGGGTGCCTGGCAGACCCTGCAAGGCAGGAAATGGAGGCTTTTAAAGACATCAAGACAAACACCAGGAAGAAACACAATTTCCAGGAAATGCCCTTTAGAGACCCAGCTCAGCTGGATCAGCACAAGGCACATATCCAGTCCCACAGCCTGAAATGCAGTCTCTGAACCTGGAGTGCTATGAGCTGCACCAGTCCTCAAAACAGACACATCACAGGTGTAACCATCCTCTGGAGATGCACATATGGGCTTGGGAAGAGCCTTGAGCCTTAGGTGACGAAGGCAGCAATTAAAGAAGAGCAGCTGTGCCTGACTTCCTTCTGGCCTGGGGAAAGCTCCTTGGGAATGACCTCCTGATCTCACTACTAAACACTCCAGAGAGGTCACAGCAAACCCAAACCAGAAACTTGCTGGTTACAGCCAGGGAAAAATCACTGCCCT